CCCGGGTTCCGTTTTTTTTTTTTTACCCTCTTTTTTTTTTTGGGGGGAACCGGTAAAAAGGGGGGGGGGGAAATTCTTTTTGGGGGGGGGGGAAACCCCTTTTCCCGCGCAAGGGGGGAGTTCCCCCCCCGTTGGTTTAAAAAGGTCAAAGTTTCCCGGGGGAGTTAACCAAGGGTTTAAAACGTTTTTGGGAAGAAAAACCCCCAAAAAAAAAATAAATTCATAGGTGGCTTTCCCCCGTCCCCAAGAAAGAAACCCCAAGATCCCAACCCCCCTTACCGGGAGGCAGCCCCCCCTTCATGGGCCCCCCAAAATCCCCCCGGCCCCTTCCCCTTGGGAAATGGGAGACCCTGTTCCGGGGAAACCCCGGCGGGTCCCCCCCCCCGGTTTTGTGGGGAGGGGGGGCAAAGGTCCAAAGGATTCGGCCATCCCCGATTTGGGGCCCCCCCCCCCCCCCCCCCCCCGCCAGCTCGTCGAGCATCAGCCGTTTCGGGAGTCGCCCGTCCGGCTGCCTTGCCAGTGCTCCCGCGAACAGTAGGCGTCGTTGTCGGATCGTGGCGTCAACTCTCTGGCATTCGACCCTCTTCAGCGTCTGGGCGTAAGAGAGCTGCCGGTAGGTGTCTTTCTTGCGCTTGTACCCGATAACTCGAAGGAGCAGTCGGTGGTGTGTCGACCGCAGCGTCTGATAGTGGCCGCTGAGTGGTGACCATGTCATGCAGCCGTACAGCAGTGCCTCCATCGCCTCCGCCTGGAGGAGGCGGATCTTGAGTCGGAATGGCGCTTTCGGTCTGTCGAAGAGCTCCTGGCCATATCGCCTGAGGCACGCCCACGCTGCTCCACTCCTGTAGCTGATCTCCCGGGTGAGGTCGCCATGTTCGTTGACGAGGCCACCGAGGTACCGGAACTCGGTCGTCTGGGCATATTTCTGTCCCGCGGCTTCGATGGTCAGCGGTGGAGGCGGTGCAAGTCGCCCGATCCCCGAAGCATTCCTTGATAGGACATTGCAGAACGTGACCCCTGGCCAAGTTTTAACAGCTTCCGCTCTCTGCAGCAAAGGGTTAACTCTTTGTGTTTGCAGCTTTGTGTTTGCAGCAAAGAGTTAATCTTTGTGTTTGGCCCTCTGAATACGGCGGTTTGGGAGACAGAGAAGGTCTTCATCGCAAAAATCAGGGAGAGAATCCATCCACAGAAGGTATTTTGGCAGAGGCGGTTCTTGAGTGTGGAAGTCCGTACCTGTCTGTAGATGAGCTGAGGTGATTGTCGCGTAGCAATGCGTATCGTCCCCCACGGGATGATTTAGATGGTCACTGCCACATCTGCCACGACGCAGGGAAGCTACCCTGACATCGACCCTTGACGTCTGTAGCCGCTCGCCTGTCGGGTGTTTGTTGTGCAACAAAGGCAAGTAAACATCTGAGGTAGTTGCCCCACGCTCGAATTTTTTCTGGATCAACAAATAGCTGGCGGCTCTCCAGTCAATCTGAATTCTTAGGCATTATGGACAAGAGTATATGAGCTTCGTTGACCCCTAGGGCAGTCTCCACAGGGTGTGAGGGGGAAGACTAGGCCCCATGCCCCCATAGAGGGGCGTGGAAGGGAAGACAAGAGGGAGAGTATCGTTATATGCAGACATCAACAGAGGGTCCCGGGCTCTCTCTCTACTCGGATCCTCCCCGGCCTGCCCCCCCTCGTCCCTGGGGTAGGCCGAGGTTCCGCAAGTGGATCGAAGCCTCGAAAGACCACCCAGCAAAGACGGATAAACGGTCCCTAGCACTGTTGAGAGGGGGATCCTGACTGCTGTCGCGAGATCGGGGTAGCTCGTGAACCGCCAGCTTTGGTAACTGCAAAATGAGACTGTATCCTAACGCCCCGGCTTCGACACCGGGGTTATGCACCAGCAGAGAGCACGGTGAGGGTGGCGGAGTGACCGCACGCCGTGGGGGTATGCCCCAGAGAGAGGAAAGGAGAGAGTCCAGAGATGGAGGGCCACACCGCTCCGGGACAAGAAGACAACTCTATGGGAAACAAGGTAAGAACCGGGATAACTATCACCTAGCCCGAGTGTTCGCAAGAAAAGAGCAAAAAAACAAAAAAAGAGGGGGAGATGGAGGAGAAGGAGGGCTCGGGCGGCGCGTAGGCTAGCTAAGAGAGCAGCGCGCGCCGGGCGAAAGAGAGAGCAGCGTCAACTTCTTAGGGTGGCAAACTGGAATGTGCCGACTTTGGCTGTAAACGGGGCCAATCCATACGGGCGAGCCTACAGCATTCTACACGAGGCAGCGAGACAAGACGTATCGGTGGTAGGAATGCAGGAGACACAGAGGGCAGGTCGAACGGAATTTGCAGCAGCGGGTTTTCGGGTGTTCTGCTGTGGCACGGAGACTGGTGGAGTCCATGGTATGGGGATAGCCGTTAAAGAGTCACTGTGCAAGACATCCACGTTCACTCTGGAGGTTATCGACGAACGCCTTATGGCCATGAGGTTTCTGTTGACAGGCCACCGTGAAGCGGTCAACTTCGTAGCCGCGTATGCTCCAACCGAACCTTTAACCGCCGACGGCAAGCGCGTGTTCTGGGGAAAACTTGACAGTCTCGTGCGGAGGATCCCCTCCAAAGAATGCGTGTATGTCCTATTGAACGCCAACGCGCGGACAGGAGATAGGTTGGACGGAGGGGACGGAAGGGTAATAGGAATGTACGGGCGTGATGAGCTCAACGACAATGGCATGCTACTGTTGAATTTCGCAGCGGAAAACAGGCTAGCTCTCACGAACACGTTCTTCGAGACACGCAATGGCGGAATATGGCACACATTCAACGGTGTGTCGGGAAACGACTGCAAGCGCCTTGACTACATCCTGACAAGGCAGGCACATCACGGCCGAGTATCTAACGTGGTTGTCATCCCCCAGCCGGTTCGCCCAGTCAAAGCAGACTCCAGACCACAACATGGTAGTAGCCACCGTCAACCTCGGTGGCAGGCTTGCCCACAGCCGTGCAGTCCGGACTAAACCGAAACAGCAGCAATTCAACCGACGGGAATTGCAGCTCGAAGCAGCACGGTGTGCGGTGACTAATCGGTTCCTCCTCAACCTCGACACACGACTGGACGAGCGAACAACCACCGCCGCGGAATTGGCGACCGACTTTACCAATGCTCTCCTCGAAGCAGGATGGACGACCCTAGGGGAGGAACGGCGGAGACGCCGCACGCAGGAATGGTGTGAGACCCAAGAGAACGAGAGCAGCACTGGAGAAGGCCCTTACCAAACGGCGGGAGCGCGCCGGGCGATGAGGGGCGACTGGAACTCAGCAACGTGGAGAACTCTCAAAGCAGCGTGTAAGGGAGTGGCTACAGCAGTCAAAACTGGCATTTCTGCCCACCTGGACGGATATGTGACTGAACTCGAAGCAATCTACAAAGATCGCGACATGAGAGGACTGTACCAACATCTCAAGAGATCAGTGGGTCTCAGCGGGAGACAAGCGGGGGGACAGCAGTTCGTCGCGGATGAGAACGGCGTGTTGCCCCGGAACAGGGACGACATCCTCCAGCGGTGGGCGAGATTCTTCAGCACCCTACTCAACACCAAATCCCCCACCCTGAACCCAGACATCATCGAACGAGCGAC